CACACACACACACACACAGGCTCGCACACACATAGGCACAGGCACAGATAACAGTGCTTAACTGCCTTCATAGTTAGCCTCACAGCTATGTGTTATTTCTGTCTTCTCTACCATTACAGCGAATGAATGTGTTCTGTACTGGAGTCAGGGGGAGAGGAAACCAGAAAGAACAAACAGATGAGGACAAAAAGTTGTTTTCTGTAAAACACATTTGGTGGAGGCTGCACGGAAAACAAATGTGCTACTTGACAGCTCATAGTAATCTCAGAGCGACTCGCAAAAACAAAAACTGCACTGCCAGGGTCTTGGCTACAGTGGGCGGCACGGTGGTTGACTGGTTCGGGGGCTAAAGAGAGACGTTTCCTTTCTTTGCATTTTAATATGTGAGATTCTCTCTCTGTGGTTGTTCTGAACTTCTGTTTCAACGCAGTCTGGTTTCAAGGAGAAAAAGGCTCACCGAAGCCTTAACGTTGCTTTACAACAGAAATTAGACATAAACTAGATACCCATAAATTTTACACACTACAGTTGAACAAAAGTCCCTGTAAAGTGAAAATAAAGGTCTTGCTAAATTTGACACCTCAGAGAAGAGTGTTGCTCAGCCGGCCGAATTTTACTGAATCGAAAAATAGACAAGTACATAAAATGAGATCACAAAATGGTGAAAAACGGAGCCCTATTCGGGATAGGGCTCTATTTTTCACCATTTTGTGTGAATAGGCTATTCCCTGTTGTCAGGTGGCTGCGACGTGTCCACTGAATGCGCAGAAACCACTCATCCATCAAATTTACACAGACGGTGACATCATGAGTCTAGCGTTACCGGATGGGAAATAGTCAGGGTCATAGGAGATGCGCGGTATTTTTGTGAGTGTGACATCGGCCACCACGTAAGTCCACTCGGCTCTTGACTGTCTGCGTGCTGAGTCGTGAAATGCGGAGAAGTTGCCAAGTACAACAGTAACGAACAAGGCCGTGATTATTTGCATGACGCCGCCGCTGAGAGCAAGTGATGTATGCGCCCTCATATCAAGTTTCCCGTTTCGTTCCTGAGCTGTTGCTTTCGCGGTGGAATTCATTTGCATATCTGGCGGCGCTTAAGTATAAGGTGACAAGGAAAAGTAAGTACGAGTATGAATCATTCTTGTGGCATCAGTAAAAGCCCGGAATGTAATGACAATCTCAATTTATTGCAGATGCTTTCTTGTATTTGGCTCTGTCGAGAAAGCAATTAATTCCACAGTGTATTCTTTGCGCTAGCATTTTTTTTTTTAACATTCTGCTGCCTTTATGATACATATTTTCCACAAGTTAGACAGATCCGGTTATATTATGCCTCAGACATTTCGTATATTTACGTGAGCACACACACCCGCCCGCACAGTCGCAAATCAAATGTCATCCTATTCTGCCCGAAATGTCAACGCAATGAATGTCATCCCAACGGTAGAGCTTTGCTACTTGGCCGTAACATGGGCGCCTATAGTATAAAAGTCTTGACACATGACAACTATTTCATGACCTTGACAAAGTAAGTACATTTGATTTATACAGTATCTTTTCCGGGGAGTTAAAATAAACAAACCCAACATGCTACAGTTAATAAATATGCTGCGGTGCCTCGAAATACAAGTTGAATTTGTTCCGTGCCCGTTTGTCTAAATTCATCTTTCCCCATTGAACCAATATAAATTCAATTAATCCATTTGTTTATCAAGGTACGTGGGGAGCTAGCAGCTAGGCGTGATTATATATACCGTGTAATGTATCTCACAAGTCATCCACAAAAATAAAAATGACAAGAAGTGAAGCTAGCTTCTTTTATTGCTGCTTCTTTTTACTTTCCAGCAGTGTCGATGCCTTGTGGCACTCTGCTGCCTCTCACATGTCAGACTTGGTACTACAACAGTCTGTTCCGCTCGTGTGTGTGTGTGTGTGTGTGTGTGTGTGTGTGTGTGTGTGTGTGTGTGTGTGTGTGTGTGGCTCACTTGACAAAAAGTGGATGTCAACAGAAAAAATATGGGAAGTCACACCGCACAAACTCAGCGACATTGAACGAGTGACAGGTTAACTCACTACGTCGCACATCCGACACACGGCATCAAAGTTAGTGGGGCTTCACTGTACAGCAGTTAACTTTATTAATACATGACATGAAAGTGACAAATGTTGCAAATGAATTAACAGATGAAGCCAGCTGCCTTCAGCATGACGTTCCTCTCCCTCCTTCCCGTGTTCTAATTACACAGTAGTTACTGTAACTTCAGCCACCTATTCGTGCTTGTTCTCACAAACGTCATCGATATTTTTGTGCCCAGCACAAGTCTGACGCAAAGCACGATCTAACTCTGCACATGGGTGGAGTTTTGTTTCTTTTGGTATTTTCGTAGATGAGCGCAGTGAGAAGCGGGTGTTTGTGCTGTTGTGGGAGTGAACACAGCTGACGTGTTTTCCTGCCAATGGAAGCGGCTCCTCTCACTCCCTTTAAATTCACCGTAGGAAAGACGTGCTCTCCACATGGCGGAAGCAGAACGGACTCGTTGGAGTCCATGCGTGAGTTAGATGTGGGCAAAGTAATTTTATAAAGAATTGCAATGGGATCGGGGGAGGTTGGAATGGATTCATGGCATTTCTAAATTAAGAGGGAAAGAGCATTTCAACTCAAGGCATCGCTGCATTACCAAATGCAAAGGATTTGAAATGACCATGTTCAAAATAGATTCCGCAGAGAAATAAAAGTGACACACGTTATATGAGCTCGAGGTGACAGGGTTAGACTGATTCAGAGATTTTGGAGTTGACTTTGGACTTGGGTTCTTTACCACCCTTCCTAACATGTTGACATATGCTGCCCCACGACCCCCGCAGTGTCACTGGCCAGACTTCTCCTTTCCTGCCATCAACCTTTCACAGACCGCAAGACAGTCAGGCAGACTGGTGATGTGGACGTGTGGACCCGTGTGCGCATGTGCCTCTCCTTCTCGTCGTCAGTATCCCGTGAGCTGATTTGTCCTGACAAGGCAACAAAAGCGAGTAATATAAAAGTCTATTTTCTCTCTCTCTCTCTCTCTCTCTCTCTCTCTCTCTCTCTCTCTTCCTTATTCCTTCACCCTAAGTGCTTCTGGCAAAACGGGGGAAGGGATAAACAAAACAAACCAATGGATTTCTTTCTTTTTTTTTTTTTTTTTTTTTTAAAATAATCTCAAACACCATATTGAGAAACATAACCGCGTATGGCTGTGGAGAGGAGGTGACTGCATTAATGCCCACAACACATCCTAATACCGTATCTTCTGCACTATAAGGCGTCTTGGAGTATAAGGCGCACGTTCAATGAATGGCCTATTTTAAAATGGTTTTCATATATAGGGCACACCACGTGACAAGGCGCCTAGAATAGAAGCTACAGTAGTGGTTGAGGTTTCATTATGCATGCACCAGATGGAGCTATGCTAAAGAGAATACAATACAAATATATATAGATAGCTCTTTCACAACCGCTGCAGCTGTAACAAAGCGCTTTTACAGAACATTAAAAATGCTACGTCCAAGAAATCCGAATATTGATTCATATATAAGACCCATCGGATTATAAGGTGCAGTGTCGCTTTGGAGAAAAATGAATGTTTTTAGGTCTGCCTTATCGTCTGGAGAATACGGTATATTCATATCAGTGGACCTATGACAATATACAGAATTTCTGTTTTTATTAACAGACATAGACCTTCAGTATTCTAAATTGAAGCTGTTCCTAAAGTCATAAAGTGCACCGTGACTTTCTGAACACCCTGTACTTTCAAAAGTTAAATGTTTGAAACCGGGGGTGGTATGTCACAGAGATCGGAATGTATCTTAGCGAAAATGAGGCCAAGTAAAATTGCATTTTTATGCATGTAGGGCAGCAGTAGCTCGTCTGTAAGAACTTCGGCTTTGGAAAAGGAGGGTAACGGTTTGAGTCCTGCTGTGGACAAATTGGCAATGAGTTGTTGAAGAGATGCTAGTCTGCTTCCTCTCTTGCCCTTGAGCAATGCACTAAGCCCACCCACCCTCTCTCAAGAAGTGCGGCGTTCTTTATGCACTTCTTGAATTCCAACATCTCTCTTTGCATTCCTGCATGTTGTGATCTGGTTCATTGTGGTGTGCAACACAGATATACTGAAGAGTGATTTGACTTTCCTCGGAGGTATTCTAATGAGTAAAAATGAAAAGTATGAATGTGAAAACCTCTGTGTATGTAAGACAAGAGTACCAAAACCAAATTCATCCCATTATTATTGTTATATAGTACCTTTCAAAACACTGAGTTTACAAGTACTACATAGTAAAACAAAAATAGTGCAACCTAAAATGACATAAAATAGTAAAAGGTAAAATGAGTCCCTCAAAATCAAAAAGGTACCATTAGTTACCATCTTATTGGTCAGAAACAGGGACTCAAAATCAAGTTTTTTTCCACATCAGCTTTTCCACCTCATATAGTTAGTCGTTCTTTGCAGAGGATAAAGAATACAGTATACAAATGTGAGTACTTTTACATTGTCTGTCTACATGTGTTGCTGCGCAGTTTGTGTTCAAACATCAGTTGCTTAAAGGCTAATAATTGTTGACGTAAGCATTTGCCTTAAGCAAGCAGACTGTAAGCTAAACTATGTTGTTCATAATGGTGGTATTTGGAGAGCGATGTATTCTTTTGCGATGGTACTTGGTGTAAAGCTGTTGCCCCCGCGACCCGACTCAGCGGTAGTGAATGGACGGATGAATAGAAGGATGATCTCCAGAAATGTCCCCTTTTGGGAACTTGAACGACGCCCTTTCCAGGGCCCACAAAGTTACTGATCTTTTCAAGATAAAAAAGTGCACGGATAAGCCATGTTTCCTCGACTGTGTACGTAAAATAATGTTTTCTGTGAAAAACGTCTTTCCTTCCTGTTTTCCTTTCCTTAGCCCTTCTAATCAGTTTGTTTTTTCCTCCAGACTGAATGTTGAGCGAGCCTCCCTCAACCATTCACAAGACAACTCTGTGATTTCGGAGTCAAGAAGATCCCAAGCAGCAGCAACAGCAGCAGCAGTAGAAGATAGGCAGTGACTGAACGTATGAAGGCAGGGAGGGGAGGGGGATTTGAGATAAAGAGCGAGAGAGAAAGGGAGAGAGAGGGGGAGCGATGAAAAGCATACTAAATGAGAGGGACTCTCATACTGAAGCGGGCAGAGGCAACCACCACATCCTGCATCTCCTCTGTGACGACCTCACACCTGATCTGCAGGAGGAGCTGGAGGGCACCTTGATCCATGGACATGCGCGCCCCTCAAGGACGGCACGAATTTCGCATCTACCCTCACCCCGCTGCCTCCACATCCTTGTGAATGCTGACATTTTTGCCCCTGGATTCATTCGGCGGACAAAATATCCAACCAAGAGTGAACTGGGAGGTGTGTTCGCACGATCCGGCCAGAGGGAGGGATTGAAGGAGCAGCGGGGCGAGAGACAGACAGAAGGAGGAGGTGTGAGCGGCAGGTGCCGATGCCAGACTTCCAGAGTGAGAGGGGGCGACACTGAGGGGGGGGGGGGGGGGGAACCTGAGGAACGCGACACGTGCGGTGGCATTTTGGTCGCCAAGAGAGACGGACGACAGAAAATACATTCGTTTACGCGTACAGCTGGGCAGATGAGGAGGCATCAGGGACCACCGTTCAGTCCTGGGTATGAACACACACACACACACACACACACGCACACACACACACGCACAAATGTGCATGTTTATTTTGACTGTGGTTGTGGAACTGCAAACGATCTTACTGAGTAGCACGGCCAATATTTCGACCCTCTTACGTAGCTGAATATGGTAACAAAAACACCATTTGACAAGGATCGTAAATGTGTGTGTGCATCTTCAAGGCTACCCATTTTGACAAGGCTCTCAAAAACTTTTCGGAATAAGGGCCACATCCGGAAAAATTGACGAAGAGGTGTTATTTTAATATGCTGGAGGTCAGGGGTCACTAACATGGCGCCCGCGGGCACCAGGTTGCCCCCAAAAGATCATGGGAGTAGTGGGGGGTGGGGGGGGGGTTCTAAAAATAGCTCACCAGGACATTTTGATTTCTGACGAATGTTGTAGAAGTGAATGTTTCAAATCAAATGTTGCACAGCTTCCTAAAGTAATGGTCTGAGTCATTTTTTTCATTTTTTTTTCCACAAAAGAATGAACCAGGCTCTGATTATATTATACATATGAATTATTTCATTTCGGAGATAGAATTGAATGATCTGCTTAACTAAGGATGTACTCGATTTTAGCAGAAGTGGCCAGGTTCCTGAGGAGATGTTTAAGTCTTTTTTTTTTTCTCGCTTACTTTCAGCGTAATTATATCTGTGCTGTGAAACACTTTTATTTCTCAATGACTCGTATACCCCTTTGTCATATACTGTGTGCAAAAGAAACTCCACCCATTCATGCCCTGTTGAACATGAGCCCAATCTTGACATTGCTAATGACATGAGTGGAGTTACCAGACTGCATAACTTGACTTAACGTGACTGTAGCTGAAGGCGTGCGGCCAGGCTTGCTTGTGTACTGCCGGATGCATATAGCTGTTGGCTGTAGTGCTAACCTGACGTGTGTGTGTGTAAAAGCAGTTCGGGAGTGTGTATAAAAGGATTTACTTCCATCTGAATTTACAGCATTCTGTAGGCATAAAAAGCAGGATTGAAGAGGGTTGAAACACTCAACAGTCAGAAAAATTCGGCTGACACTTTCTGTTTTCTCTTCTTTCGAATTTAGTGTTATGTACCATACTGTGCCACCATTTCGTGTCAGAAAGTGGAATTACATCCCAAAATATTCAACAAAATTGAGTTTTTAAATGACTACCGCACTCCAAAAAAAAAAAAAAAAAAAATTTGATTATGTTACCATAAAATGTTTTATAAAGCACAATATTATAGATGACCATATTCCTTATTAAAAAGAATTTGGGGTGTTTTGGGAAAGCAGGTTTGCACGTCGGTTCTTTCCACGTGAAGTCTTTCTTTATTGACAGACACTTCTACCTCTTCCCTGCATCACGGCATCCTCCTTAACCATTAAACTAAAGAACGGGTGTTAATTTCATGGCCATTTACACATGTTGAACCTGAGCAAAGTGCGACCTTGGCGTTGGCTCGTAAGCAGCAGCCACTCGATGTTTCATTGCGCACTAAATCCTGCGCATACAGGATCTGGAAATACGAAATTGCTGCCGAATAAGCAGTGCCTGGAATCATGCAATCAGCTCATTATTTCCTGTTCCTCATTAACTTGTTTGGGGTTCTCACTTTATCGTTGTGACCAGTTTTCCACCCCCCTCTGTGAAGTCAAAACATGAGCAAAAAAAAAAAAAAACGAAACAAAAAGGAGTTGCGAACCATCCCCGAGCTCACCAGCATTGATGGAATTTTGCAAGAAGGGAGACACGTGATAGGCTTTTGCTATCTTGTCTTTATAAGTTATTTCCGCGTCTTATCTCCCCTCGTGTACGCTCCTACCTTGAAAAGGAATTGTGTGACAAACGTGCACAGCCTCATCGTCCTATCTGCTGCTGAAGCCTGAATGAAATACAAGTGCGAAAAGATGAGACTCGATGTGTTCTCGTACTATCTCAGGGAAGACTGATAGTCGGGGGGGAAAGACAGAAGGGAGAATAGGGATTCAATAAAATCAGATTAGCAAATCAGTCAGGAGGAAGCTGACGTGGTACAATATAATGTCCACTCACTGGACACTTTATTTCGGTACACCTGCACAATCAGAAATCCGATAGCGGAGCCGCAGGCGGGAGACCGGAAACGCATAACATGACTCAAGTCACACTAAAGTTGATTTTAGGAGTTGGTATATGCTGCAGTTAAGTATGAAAGATTCGACTTCCTGTTGACCTGAATTACATGACTTGAAAAGTTTGGACTGGACTTGCTGTCCACAGTATCGCGGTACTTGCTTGAAATACTTACTTGACATACTTCCTTCTTTGCACATATGTGACTTAACGCCCGCCCCTGCTAGACCTGAATAAAAAAAAAAAATCGGCCTTCACAATCATATTAAAGGTCAACTTTAACAGTTTTTTTCCACTGTGTATGCCTTGCTTAACTGAAAGGTGGCGGGCAGAGATGACATTTGGTTTTGAACTCATCACTTGAATCTTCATACGTACATCTGTAGTGTTTCTCGGGCATAGCTGACTTTTTTACATTTTTTTTTAACAACCCTCACATGGCATCCATGGATTTATGCTTTGCTGTTGCTAGCTTCACATTTTTCATTTTTCCATCAGTCAACAACACCAGAGTTCACTTTCTGTAATCTTCCATTTTCCCGATTTTGCACACGGGTGAGCCACTTTGCTCCGTTTCCTCATTGAAGTGACCATTACTTGGCTGCAAGTGAGAGTTTTGATCAGGCCCCGCCGCCTAGTCGACTGCAATACGACGCTCCCGCATGAGTCCGACACTTTTTAAGCCTCGCGTTGCTGTAGGAGGTTTTCCAATTCCCATGGAAGACAGCTTTATGTGTTTTTCATCTTCTGCGCTGGCTTTCCTCGGCTTATCTGGACGCTTTTATTTTCCTTGGGACAAACAATAGAAAAGAACTCACCCAAGACTATTGTTCTCCTCAGTCATGGCCTTTGTCAGTTTTTGTCGCATGCAGCTCAGTTTTTTTTAAATCTATCCACACAGATACTTGATAAGTGAATCCTGTGACACATTGAAGTGCTCTGTACTAAGTCCGTTTGATTGGCAAGATGACAACGGATGTAGTGGTCGTAATCAAGGAGCTCCGAATCGTAGAATGTGCCTGCTGACAGCATTTGACCTTGAGGGATGCGCCAAGGCGCTTGTGATTGTCCTGCTTGGTTGCTGGACGGTGATGAGGCTCCATGTATGGACAAGGGCAAAGACACACACACCGATGATAGTAACCCCCCCACACACATACACACACATAGCACACTCACTTCTTGTTCACATGCATACAGAATGAATCACTGGAGAATACACTGCGCATGACCTTGGCGCTTGTATCAGAGGTCACCAACTAAATGGGATTTAATGATCTTTCCAGTCTCATTTGGCACAACATTTCAAGCAGGCGGCATGTGTTCTATTACCCTCGATTGTGTGCAAACACACGGCATCTTGTTTTTGGTGTTCCGGCGTCTGATGTCAAATTATGTGAAGTAAAGGGTGCATCAATAAAGAAGAATGTTTGCCCTCATTTTGAAGTGGCGGGGTAAATATTCACTTCTGTGATGCAACCTCCTCATCTGTTTTTTGTTTTTGTTTTTTGCTTTTCTTAATTTCATCCCCATTGTCACAGCAGACCGTCGTGTTTTGCTCCCTGTGCCCTTTTCATTTTGCTTACTTCAATTTACTCCCCGCTCGGAATTTTCTCTCATGTGACCCCCGGGGGTCTTGAGGCTCTCAGCCTGTCTGCCTGCCTCTCTTTCCCCTCGCTCATGGTTGTTTAGGCCCGAGAGGGAAGTTTCTTGTGGCTAGAACTTAGCCACCACGGCCACATTGTACCGGACAGCGGCTTGACCTTCAAGCTGACCTTAAAATGGTGCACTTACGTTGCAAGCAATGTCCATTTGCCAAAGCTTTTCATTCCAGTTATGCAATGCAATTTCAGACATAATGTATCGGAAATCCATTCAGAAATTCCATTAGCACTCTTTTAACACATGAAACAGAATTGTTAATTAGATGCATGCTGTTTTGGGACCCTGAGTGCCTGTCGCACATGCCTCATTCTGTTGCTATAGTGGAACGGGGAATTGGAGTCGTCTTTGATGTGACGCCGAGACTGCTGTGTCTCTCTGTGTGCTTCGGATGATTAAAAGGGAACGTAACGAGATGTAACTGTCGCATTGCCATTTGGACTCTTTTCCAAATCATTTTCACATTTTTACAAAAAAAAAAAAATCACGTGTTAATTAACTCTAACTCTTGAGTTTTTCTGCTGTGGTCTGACATGAACTGTAGCTTGTGGCGTTATACACAAACACACCATAATTTTGAAATTGTTCAAAATTGCACTGAAGTAGAAAATTGCTCATTTTGTCCATTTTTTTTAAACGCCTCACTGGGCAGCATAGCATCAGTGTTGGGGCTGGATGAGGTTGAAGTTGGCTCTGACCACTCCCACTATTGCGCAGCTCTCCCTCTCGCAGATATACTGCCTGTTAAATTACCAACATCACATCTAACCTGCCTCTGCCCCTCTGCTAAGAATTTACACTGATCATGAAAATACATCCCAAGGTCATAAGTGGTGAAACAATTTAACACACCAATAGACTGTCTCTTATTTGTAATGTTGTTTTTTTTTCCCCCTGCTACAAGTGTGACTTTTGGCCTACTTGTCCGAAATTAAACCTTGGTAAACTACTGTGATGCACTAGTAGCTATTACTACCAGTTCCCACTCGCTATGTGTCACACACTACTAGCTTCCTACTTGTATCCGACTCGTAACACGCAGGTGTCCTCCCCATGTGCAAAATCTCGGACATTAATGTAAGTCAGAAACTATTTTGGCAGTGGTACAATGGGTGTTCTGTTTATAATTTGCATTGAAAGAGTTGAACAAAAGTGAAGGTTGGATCTCTCTTTACAAGCTGTAACAGTAAAAGTCTGTGCGCGCGGGTGTGAGCTCATAAT